GAACTATGTACCTGGACAGTCGACACTTTTACGCGATCCAAGTATCGAGTATTGCTGTGCACAGGGAAAATTGAATAAACTAAATTTCTAAATATCGAACACTTTAGTGTAAAATAGTACTTATAATCTACTCACTTATAAATATGTGGAAATTAGAATAGTTTAAAAAAAATTATAAGAACCCATCGATCAATATCTCTCACGTTTCTCCACTCTTGGCACTCCACCCGTTAATTTCGTCGTTCTATACAGAGCAACGTTATTGCACTCGTTTAATAATACCTCGCGACAAATGCTTCACAGGTGTTGGACACTTTCCCGAAACTTTTCTACCTGGACGATTTCCCATGAACTCTCTATTAGATTCAACGTGCCGACCGAAGCTTTAATATGATACGCGTGACACGCAAACGAAGCAAAATTTTGCAACGAAAGCTTATGGAGTGATAATTTACTTCGATGCATATTTACGATGTCAACAGACGATATCGTCTACCGCATAACTATCATGTTTATTTAACGCATAGAAGAAGAGAGTTGTCATCCAATTTCGTCATTCGCTCGAAGTGCAGATGCTTCCATTTTGTATCGGTCTTTCGTCCAGTGTTGATCTCGTAGTGCGGTAAAACGCTTCCTACAATGTTTGAAGATCGAATTGAAAAGTTTCATTTACATACATTTATTCAATTATTACGTAACTTTGATAGATTCTTCCCGGGTCACTGGTTCTAACGTTAACGTAATTTCTCTCCGAGTGAAAACGGAAATCACTAATGAATAGTCAACAAGTCGAAATCAAAGGTGAAGCGACAGTAAAGTAGAAAGAACGTGGAGATATCATAGATAGAGTAGGAGAGCCAGACCTAGCTAAAAAGAGAAAGAAAATCATAATACCATACCCTGTTCCGTCTACCGAGGCATCGTTATATCATTCTTATGTTAACGATACACGATCATCGTCTACACTTTTAATAATAACATATACATTTTACATTCACTTTAATAAAAGCACAGAGATAGGGGTATCAGATATATAGGGTGCCACAGTTTGTTTTCTCTTTCTAACTGTGAGACATTTTCATTTGCAGACAGAGAGAACTTCCAGCTTTCCGTGCTCACCGGAAATTCGATAAAATGAGCATCGTGAAATTATAAGAATTGTACGATTATCGAACAGAAAAGCTTTGATTGGCAAAGATTAAGTGTCACGGTCGCGATCGAGTACACTCGTTAATAATCGATCTACTCGAACTTTAAAGTGAAGTAAAATTAAAGAAGAATCGAGAATGAAGCTGCTAGGGATAATTTGCCTTTGGACAATATTATCGACGTGTCACGGATATCGAATATTGGGCCTGTTTCCATTCAATGCGAAGAGCCACTTCATAATGTTCGAACCTCTGATGAAGAGTCTCGCCAAAAAGGGCCATCAGGTGGACGTGATAAGCTCGTTTCCATTGAAGAAACCGTTCCCGGATTACACGGACTTGGTCGCGTTAAAGTCGCGGAGTGACTTGATGAACAACATGTCTTACGACGTGATGAGTACGATAGCGCATTCCCAGGGGAGTACCATTATTTCTACGATAGGAGGAAACGCAGTCTGCGAATATTTAGGCGATCCAGGGATACAGAAGCTCGTACGCAACGCGTCCAAGCATCCGCCCTACGACTTAATCGTTATGGAGGTAATTTTTCTTTGAGATTATTATAGATTTATTCGGTATCGTAACGTTATACTGTTGAATGTTTGAATTGTTTGGTATGCGAGTACGTTCTCCTGGGAATTTTGTGAATGTTTATTGAAAAATAAAATTTGTCCGCTATGACGAGAGTTGAACAAAAATTTTAGTTCACATAGATTCGAATCCCAGCTCGTTAAATATCGTACTACCTTGCTGCAATCTTCTCGCATTTCATTATATAAAAATCGATCAACGGTTCCTCTTCATAAAAAGATTAGCAAGCACTTCTCCCTACTCGAGTAGCTAAGAATATTCACGCATCGCTGATCGAATCTTTATAAAATCTTGAAAGCTTTAATTTAATTTCGATTGTTTGCATTTATCAAGCTAGACGTAACAGGTACGATCGAAATCTTTCTTTGTCAGATAATTCAAACACGCAAAGATATTACGCAAATTACAAAAGATATGCGCTACACGACGGCTGTTTGACCATACTCAAATATAATCAAAAGTATCAAAATATAACCCATACAGTCAGTCTCATAAATATTCGCACCTTTTACGTCTATCAAAGAAGTTTGTCTAAATTAAATAACTAAATTGCGATTAACTGTCACAGACATATAAACAAAATGCTATCTTCTATACGTCACTCGTGGATTCTGATTTTCCACTGTATTAGACACGAGAGAAATTTCTTTGGAACATTTTTAAAACATTGTTTCATCTAACGAAATGTCCATCCTTTATTCGTACAACTTTTTCCCTTCGTTCTACGAGCTTCCATTATATGTTAAGGAGACCGAAAAGTAATCAAACTTTTATCAACGTTTATTTGCTAAAGAAATCTTAAATAACTTTTGTCAGCGTAGAGGCAGTCATTCGATTTTATTTATAAAAAAGTCCGTCGACTACCTTATTGTAAAACTTTTCCAATTCGAGGACATTTTGATTACTTTTCAGTCCCCCTGATATTAATATTCGAGCGAAGCCAAACAGTTGTCACGTGAAATGCAATTAAACTCGTCAAACCTGAATCTGACACGCGTTACGAACTTTAAACAGCGAATTTGGGGGGCGTCGCGATAACCGATTAATTAATTGCCAATAACGATGAATCCGCAGTCCATAATTTCACAAATATGGAGCAATGTAGTGTCGATGATCAAAGTGTTTGTTACGTTTTGTACTCGAGCGATACGATCGTTAACATATTTCCATATTATAGTTAGATATCGCGTCCCTATCGCAATGAAAAAAATCGTGCTCGGTGTAACGTCGGATATATGAACGACACTCTCAACCTACTACAAGATAATCACGCCAGTGAGCTTCGAAGTGTTCCTCCATTAAGCATGGGAACTCGAACCTAACCCAGATCTGTTCGATTAAACGACAAGCGTCGCGTGGAAAAAGTAATCGAGTGGTGTGGCCCGTAAGCCAGAGATTCCATACTGCAGTTTCCCTTAATTTATTCAGAAGAAATGATCAACGTTCGAGACGACATACTCGACAGCTGATACTAACGAGAAGAGAGGTCCGAGTGAAAGATCCAATGGCAAAGAAAGGTGTGCTCTTAAAACTCGTTGCGTTATAACCAGAAGACAGTTAGATCGATAGCTAAAAAACTTAAACAGTTCTTAATTTTTGGATAAAATACACTGTGTAGAAGAACTCTACACAAAAGTTTGAAAACGATCATTCGACCGGGTAGGTTTACCGTAAATTTGTCAACGCCAGAAAGGCTTCTCGAACGCTGAACTGTCGCTCCAAGGTGAAGTGAAATTAAAGAAGCAAGATCCGAGGATGAAGCTGCTACCAATCGTTTGCCTCGTGGCGATGGCATCGACGTGTCACGGACTTCGAATATTGGGCCTGTTTCCATTCAATGCGAAGAGCCACTTCATGATGTTCGAACCTCTGATGAAAAATCTGGCCAAGAGAGGCCATCAGGTGGAGGTTTTAAGCACGTTACCTCTGAAGAAACCGTTCCCGAATTACACGGACGTGGTCGTAATCGAGCCACCCAGGGTGTACACGAACAGCTTGCCGTTCGACGAAATAGCAAATTTGACGCGAACAACCGCGGGTTTCGTCGTGGCCAATTTGGCGGGAAACGACGTTTGCCACAGTTTGGGCAATCCAGATGTGCAGAAGATCGTCCATGACCCGCCTAACGATCCACCTTACGACTTGATCATCATGGAGGTACGTTCTTCCTTTCGATGAAACTCGTTCTTTCTTGATGGATTCGTTCGTTGAACTTTCGCATTGTTGCGCCTTGAAATGACTATGAATGATCTAATTTTAGTAAATTTATGGGCGAATTTAAATTCCACGGCAAATGGAGATATGCGCATAATTGCAGAAATGTATTAGGGGTCGGCGATAATATACGTCTTGTACCATTTGGCAAATGAGACGTTTCGCGGAGGCTTCAATTATTTTTCCGTACTGAATTTTATGTTAATTTTAAAAATTCTTTAATGATACATTCGAATACGCTTGCCTATCTTCTTCTTGGTAGAATTCTATTTTCCACGTATTTTCCAACGTGCATGATTAGGAATGATGCAACGAGGAAAATACTTAAGCTTACTACTTTTATAAAAGATCTACTTTGAAATTCGTTTTTTAGCTACTCAGGTAAAAATCGAAACTTGTTGGCATTCTAATAGTCGATGGAGTTGATCTGGCCAAAGGTCAACTCTCACTTTGAACCTGATTAAGTACGAATACGAATAATAAGAAACTGATTTACAAATATGCCTTTAATTAAAATGTACCGTAGCTGTAATAAAAAATTGAATAGTTTAAGACGCTGTACAGATACCACAAAATATAACGATTGATTCATGCTACTCTGATTAGAATGCAGACTTGTCGAAATTTAATCGATTAGAATATAAAATTGATAAAAATCGCGACACTTGGAATCAAGCAACACAGCACGTGTAAAACAAATAGTTCGGAATAGAATATCGAGACGTGTGTTCCCTCTAATTCTTCGTGACATGTTACAGATTGGTCGCATGTCACTCGTAATTTGCTGAAAATCGTGGCGGCGTGCAAACGTGTCATTAAAAAGAAACCGAGTCATCGTCGAAACAGCAGTTACGAAATCGCTGAATTCGTTAAATACACGGTTTGGACACGTAAACACAGCATGTTAAACATAATACAATACAATTTTCGATCTCTCGTGACGCATAGTACACGGTCCACGTCAACATTGACAATTCCACTCTTCCCTTCGAGTCGAACTTTACCAGTCGGCCCAAACGCGCTACAGACACTTTTCTATCGTCTGGAATCCCCCGTTCAAGAGTCAACCAATACACAACGAAACGTCACGAAAATTTCATTCTCTTCGTTGAACACCGTGATGTCGAGTATCCTATCGTGACGAACGTTGGAAGGTCGAATTTATCTGTGACAATCCAAGCACAACACGAGCGCAGTATCAAATGTAACGTGATAGGTTCCGGACCCTGCAATAATCTTGGAGGTTATCAAGGCAAGTGATGGTCGCGATAACTTTGAAGTAAACGCTGAAATGGTCAATCGACCCAAGTAGATCGTAAGATCGCAGTCGTTCTTTACTTCCCTCGGCGAGAGGTAGGCTGCTCCGCAGGTAAACCTAGTGCCAAATCTGTGCTTAAAAGACTTTCTGTCTAAATCGTAGAAGATAGATGGAGAATAAGGAGAACTGTTCCCAAGTTCTTCTGTTTAAATTGTAAAAACGAAGGGAGAATAAAGAGGACTGTGCCCAAGTTCTTCTGTCTAAATTGTAGAAAATAGAGGGAGAATAAAGAAGACTCTGTCCGAGTCCTTCTGTCTAAATCAGAGAAACAACAAGAAGAATAAAAAGGGCTCTACCCAAGTCCTCCTGTTTAAATAAAAGAAAAGCGTCTCACGAACTCAATGTGTTTCCAATTTACCTGAATCGAAGCCGAGTTCGCGCCGCGAGAAGTCGTTACGCGGCAGTTAAACGCGATCTCTAAGGTGAATTCATACTAAAGGATCTCGAAGATGAAACTATTGACGACGGTAGGGCTTTTGGTAACGATATCGATGTGCCATGGGTATCGAATATTGGGATTGTTTCCATTCCCCGGGAAGAGTCATTTCGTGATGTTCGAACCAATGATGAAGGGTCTGGTTAAAAGGGGCCACCAGGTGGACGTGATAAGCCCGTTTCCATTGAAGAAACCGTTCCCGAATTACACGGACTTGGTTACGCTGGAAAGTATCAGGCAGTTCATGAACAACATGACGTATGGCGAAACAATGTTATTAAGAAATTTACCGGTCAGTACCTCCGTGGCCACGCTGGCTGGAAACGACATCTGTGAGAATTTGAAGGATCCAAGGATACAAAAGCTCGCGAGGAACCCGCCCAAGGACCCACCTTACGACTTGGTCATCGTGGAGGTATGAGTTCTTCTCCGAGATCTTGTAAATTTATTCGTTCTTGTTTATATTTAAAAAAAAAATCATTTGCGACAACCTAACGATCACTGTTCTGTGTTAACTTCGCGCTGTGTCCAACTTGGTAAAGAATAGTTCAATGGTGTCGTTTCCGAAAATTAGACGTGGTTTCTTTTATACAGCTTGTCATAGTAGTCAAATATTAAAATGATTAATGCAATATTTACGAAGATATCGTCTACATATTTATTTGTGTATTCTCTGCGTTACGTGTGCGTCTATGTGTCCCATGGGAATGGCACAGATTTTGCCAATCAGAATTCATCTACACTAACATTGATCGGGATATACGTTTTCCGCGTGGACAATTACGTACATTATACTAGATAAATCTTTCAATCAAACGCAGAAAATATTTGTCGTGGTCCACGTTAGTATCGACCAAACCTGGAGTCATCGAAGTCTGTAACGATCATTTCCATGGGACCTCGAACAACATGTTTTCATGTTGACCAACATGTAACAACCATCGAATATTGATACCACGAATAATAACAACTCGAAATGTCGTGATTACACGATTAATAAACTTAACGTAACATAGCATGACTTTCACGTCGATAAAGACGAAAATAGTCTATCGGTTCAACACAAACATGCTCCTTTAATCACCCCGTACTGCTATGCCTATCTTATCACAACAGAACACAGACATTACAACATTAAAATTATCGCCGAGTGTGCGAAGCTAGTCGATCATTGCACCAGTGTTTCTCGAACTGCTTCATCATCCATAGAAGAGGGTCAATTGAACTCTCATCAGTTCAGTAAACACGCGCGTATCGCGGAACAGTAATATGTAAACTTCCAACGTTGGAAACACAGCCAAGACTTCTGATTTCATTCCACGTTCAACTACCAAGGATTCAAATTTTTCCATTCGATGATTCTAAAATTTGTTGTGTGGTACTCTGGATTCTAATCAAAGGATAATACGTACTCAGCGATCAGTGAACTCTGAGTTCACTGCAGAAGGTCAGTTTCAATCGATACTCTTGGACAAGAGGAGGAGACTCTTGGACTCCTTCGATAAAATGAACTTTGTATAATTTGAAAAATTCGAGATTAGTAGAGCCTTGTGATTAGTCCTGTCGAGCACGTAATATCCGAGAGGAAAAGGAAATATTTGGATTGCCGTGGGTTAAGGTTGCCACGAACATAAGCTCACTCGCGAATAGTCGATCTACACGAACTCCAAAGTGACGTGAAATTAAAGAAGAATCAAGGATGAAGCTGCCAGCGATAATTTGCCTCTGGTCGATTCTATCGGTGTGCGAAGGATACAGAATATTATGCGCGTTTCCTTACAAAGGGAAGAGCCATTACGCGACGTTCGAATGGCTAATGAAGAATCTGGCAAACAGGGGCCACCAGGTGGACGCGATTACGCAGTTTCCATTTACTAAACCGTATCCAAATTACACGGAGGTCGTCGTGTTTCAAGGAGCGATGACTTACATGAATAATCTAACCTACGACTTCATCCAAACGGAAGCGGACCCAGTTAGTTGGGTAGCAGGCCCATGTGGAAACGACTTCTGCCATTATTTAGCACATCCTGACATACAGAAGATCGTGCGCAACCCGCCCAAGGATCCACCCTACGACTTGTTTATCTTCGAGGTACGAATTCTTCTTCAACGACGCGAAGGAATATTTTTATTTCTTACACTTCTGAGCTTTCAATTCTTGCTGGATAGCTTCTGAGCTTCTTTTCGAAATCAGATACAGATTAGGGTGTGGGACCGTGCAATTTGTTTAGTTTCGTCAAATCAAATTAAGAAATGATCGCCAGGAGCGCATGTTTCTTTTCCTAGGACTTTGATTAACAGCATCGCGTCGACGAACTGATATTTCCATGTGAGTGGATAAATAAATATATACAAAGCTTGAAAAAGATTACAATGAAAAAGGAAACAATAGCGTTCGAGATAAGGGCTTGTGACATTTTCATTTTCAAAAACTTGCACTGTTATAGCTAAAACAAGCGATTACATTTTTTATTTTCGAGTTTTACGAGTCATTCGTTCGTTATGTAAACCTGAGTGGATTTTTTTATGTGATGAATTATTACTAATAACCAACCTCGTTTCGATTCGTCGCATTATCCACGAGAATTTTTATGCACACAAATAGTAACATTTATCTTCCAATGTTCAAATATTTATGAAACGTTATAAGAAGAGCTTGGGATCGTACTAATTGTTAGAGCGCTCTTCGATGTTTCAGTTAGCAATTACATGAATATATTACTGAAAATTTCTAATTATCGATTCGATTTGTTTAAAGGAAAATTTGAGCCTGATCTTCCTCGAACTCAGCTTCATATTATTTAACAATATTTTATGGAAATAGATTTAGCTGATTTATTATTTATATTATATCAATTTTAATATATCGAGACTGTATTAAATGTATGTCAATTTCAGTTAAACCGAACCAACGAATGCTTATATTACATTAAATTTCTAATCTAAGGGATGGTATCACCCTTGTGAATGGCCGTGCAAAGTTTTGTCGGGGCGTCGTTTAACAGTAGTCTCTAATGAGCTTTAAAAATTGTTCCCGTTGAGTACTTTAATCTGAGACTGACGCTTGCAAGTTATCGGCATTTAAACGTATCAGCCCCATCGATGATGAAACATTACACAACAAAGTTGAATGAGACAATTTAAACTTGGAGTCGGTTAATCGAAAGTCACGCGGAAATCACGTGCGACGTGATCGCAAAAATGTACACGAATCGCTTAAATAGATAACGAACATTGAAGACGTTTTAAAAAAAAGTCAATCTTGGAGACTCGCTTCGTCGCCGCCATTTTGTACTAAAACTATAGTACAACAATTTTTGTTTATATTTCAGTATGTGCTAAATTAACCTAGTAAAAAGAAATCCTATTCTTTTTGCGATACCTTCAAAATTAATGATCAAAGTTAGACCTTCTTTCAACCTCTAGACTCTAGAGTGATGTTACCCCTTAACAAAACAATTGGTAATTTCCGTATTCACCACTTCGAAAGCGTGAGAGGGGGCTCAGCTCATTGAGATATCCAATCAAAAGATTGACGCTATCAAAAATCTCCAAGCATTACGATTAGATACCATTTTTCTTCTGTCACACTACACGAATATTGTAGCGAAGGATTTATCTACGACGACCGAACCATACTATTAGATTACAGTACCAGTATGACTCGATATGCCTTGCTGTATGTATCGAAGCTACCATAGGTCCATAAAGCCAATAAATGCCTGAAGTTGACTCGGTCATTCCAACTTCTGCCGTTGACACATTCTAACATCTAATCTGAGTGGAGTGGATTGACACGCTCTGATTTTTCTCCTTTTCTAAACGTTGCACCAAAATTATTACCAAAGGTTAATTGCCATAGGTGATCCTACAGTGGGAATCAGAAGAGATTCGAGTTTTCGCATCCAATGCGAAGAGGAATGTGTATATAACGATCGAACTGCCCTTGGTTGACATTTACTCGTGAATTCTAATTGATAATCTCCAAAGTGAAGTGAACATTGAAAAGCCTCAGAATGAAGCTGCTGGGAGTGATTTGTCTGTGCATCGTGCTCTCCCTGTGCGATGGATATCGAATACTGGGCGTGTTTCCGTTCAATGTGAAGAGCCACTTCATAATGTTCGAAGCTCTGATGAAGAATCTGGCAAAAAAGGGCCATCAGGTGGACGTGATAGGCACGCTTCCATTGAAGAAACCGTTCCCCAATTACACGGACTTGGTCGCGTTTAAAGTCCAAGTAAATTACATGAACAACGTCACTTACCATGACCTCTTGACAGAAGGGAAAGTGTCAACGGCTAAAGTTTTGGCTGAGGTGGCAGGTAATCTCGTCTGCGAATATTTAGCAGATCCTGGGATACAAAAGCTCGTACGTGATCCACCCAAGGGCTCGCCTTACGACTTGATCATCATGGAGGTATGAAATCTGCTTGGATTTGAGTCGAATTATTCATAGGTTTCTAATGTTTCTAATAGTATGTATGTGGTGTTGGATGCACCAGGAACTTTATGAAAAGGGATTCGAGAATGATGTATGATTCTTGAGGGACTTTGAGCTTCTTCAATATTTAATAGAAGAGATGTTGTAAAGAGAGAAAAGCTACGTGGACGATGTTGGTTTTAAATTATTCTGCTTAACTCTTTCTTGCTTGGATTTTACTCGAATTATTCATTAGTTCATGATGTTTGTAGTAGGAAATGATGTTCATAATGTTTGTAATAGAAAATAATGTAAGAGTCTAAACGAAAAGTAAGGGCACGAGGATTCAAACCCACGATCCTCGGATCCACAGTAGACCGCTTTACCTACACGACCAATCCCGTACGTTTCAATTATTTTTTCTTTTATTTAAATTGCTTTTGAATGTTGGAAACCAGATTAAGTGTCTAAACTATCGATACGTGTTGCAACATATTTAAAGTGAAGCTACTGTCAAGTTGTCAGCCTGATATCTTATCTAGTCGACTTCATAATTGATACAACATTCAACAAAGGTTCGATCATGATTTACTTCGAGCCCATGAACTTTGGTATGAATTTTATCTGATCGATGACTGTCGATCGTTCGCCATTTTCAATTAGCTAATAACTTACTCTAACTCGAAAATTAAAATAATTACTCGCAATCAATCTTTAATTTGTGAAGCAGAGAAGATAAGAATGTAGAACCTCGAGGAAATATTAAATTCAAAGATAGCAGAGACTCGTTAAATCAAGAATACTGGCGTAAGTAGAACAAAAAGAACGGAACAACGTATGAATATATTTTTCGTAATAAATATTCGTTCTTTTTTTTCTACTTACGCCAGTATTCTTGATTTAACGAGTCTCTGCTATCTTTGAATTTAATATTTCCTCGAGGTTCTACATTCTTATCTTCTCTGCTTCACAAATTAAAGATTGATTGCATATATATATATTGCACGCGTTTGGATTGCTCTTTACATTCAGAATAATCAAATTTTTAATATATATAGATAGAATTCAGAATAATCAAATTTTTAATATATATATTAAAAATTTGATTATTCTGAATTCTATCTATATATATTAAAAATTTGATTATTCTGAATGTAAAGAGCAATCCAAACGCGTGCAATAAAATAAGTATGAAAATTGTTTCGAATGCAATTCATTCTTAATAAATCCGTTCGAAATATTAATTTTGTTACAAATATTATCTTTATACATTACACTACAACTTAATCGCTTAAACGACATTCAGGGAATGTCGGTAGACACTCATCCAAACTAGTACGATCCCTTACGAACTCATCCGAACGAGTTACATCCGAAACCCGAAAGTTCGCATGTCTCGGTGATTCGCACGTGCCCGAATGTCGGGCGGATCGCATTAACTCGACATAGTCCGAAGTGATTTGAGGTCATATCTCGATCGTGCCATCACTTCCAGCAGTCATTCCACACAAAGATCTCTGACGATCGCCCATCATCGAGACGCTGCAGTCGTCTGTACGCGTGAGAGAGTCAAGGCACCTTGGCACACATGCCGCAGATGACTGATGCATCAGTCTAACTCGATCAGACGCCTCGGTCACTACATGTCACTTAATTCCCGATTCTACTACGATAGTATTTCTTTAGCAGTAGAATATCAAGACTATATGCATTGCAAAACGGCGCGTTAAGGAGGTGGTAAACTTGAGCAGTTTAAAGCAATTCGTAATTGTTGGAGCGTTAATTGTGGCTGAGAATAGGAAAGAGTACGAATCATTGGAATATAAACGTTCGAATCAAGTTGGCCCTTGATGTAAGGTCCTTCTCTTCTGCAAGTGTCGACGAAGTGAGCACAGTGTCTTCGAGGTCTTGTATTTATTTCCTTTGAATGAATTTCGAAATTCTGAGAAATTTAACTTAAGTGAGAACAGGAGAGATATCGAAGGAACATCTTTATCCGAAAACAAAATCGATGTGATCGAAGTGTGTCGCAAACTATCAAGCTTACAACGCTTGAATCAACTCGAACTTCGGAGATCTGTGATCTTGTATAAATAAAGATCGAAATGAAGCTGCTATCCGTCGTTTTCTTATGCCTGGCGGTGTCGATGTGCGATGGACATCGAATATTGGCCGTGTTTGCCTTTAAAGGGCGAAGCCATTTCGTGATGTTCGAGAGACTGCTAAAGGATCTGGCTAGAAAGGGCCACCGGGTCGACGTGATAGGGAAGTATCCTCTTAAGAAACCGTTCCCGAATTACCATGATATCGTCCCATTACCCATAGAAGCGGGGTTTATGAACAACATGACCTACAACGCGATAGGTAATATGAATTTAAATACGCAATGGTCAGCAGGCCACGTCGTGGGCAAGAAATTCGGGAACGACGACTGCCAGGATTTAAGTGATCCAAGAATACGAAAGTTAGCGCGAGATCCACCGAAGAATCCACCTTACGATTTGCTTCTGTTCGAGGTAAGGATTCCTCTTTGGGATCTGGTGGAATTGTTTAACTACTTCTCGATATCCTCCACGTGAAGATATCCTCAATTTGCAAGGAAAGCGTACTTCACGTTGGATGGAGGAATGGTAAATCGTCGTTTAGGTTCAGGTGTCTTGTGAGTTATGAATTTGACAAACGCAGTAATGCAGTCTTAAACATTATTTACTGTTTTCATAATTAAATGCACTGCGTGTACCTTGGTATCGCACTGTAGAATACGATGTCTCGCAAGTATTACGTACTACGTTATGCAATGCCTATGCGATTGAGACAGATTTCCAGGAATTTTATCTTATGAAAAAATCTAATCACTTGACTATTACAATTAAGACAAACGATTGCGTCGCTGTGTTCTTCGCTTGATTACGTTCATACATAGATGCTGTGCAATTACTTTAATTTTCATCAATCGAAGAATCAGCCCATTGAATTAAAATTGTATACGCGTCGATTAAAATTATATTCCATAGGAATGTTCTACTTGATATTCAGGTCAAATATACAATATATAAAACCACTATACATCTTTGATTTCGTCCATCTAATACTCGTTTAATGATTTTCATTTATTAATCGCTCGATCTTAATTCAATTTTCAATTTCAACGAGACCTTCGCAATTGTTGCAATAAAAATAATACTCCAAAGGAGTATTGTACTTGAAATCTCAGTAGAAATTACACCAAACGACTAATACAACGGTCATTCAAATAATTTCCAGATATTTGGAGCTCACTGTTTCGCGGCACTCGGCTACCTATTGAAAGTGCCCATAGTGGGCGTGAGTTCGTCGGTTCTTTACCCATGGAGCAACGACATAATCGCCAATCCCGAGAACCTGGCGTACGTGCCAAACAATCTCCTCGACTACTCTTCCCATATGAACTTCTGGGAAAGAACGCACAATTTCGTCCACACCCTGTACAATAAGTGGAACTTCAATTACATCACGCAGGAGCAGAACGAGATCATTAGGAAGTACCTTGGTCCCGGTATACCGGACATTAGGGAGCTGGAGAGGAGCGTCTCAATGATTCTCGCCAATTCTCACATATCCATGAACGGTATAAGGGCTATGACGCCCGCGTTAATCGAAGTGGGAGGATTGCACGTTCAGGAAGAGGGGGTGGAGCTACCACCTGTAAGTACGCACCGCATTTCGTTTCTAACGTCGAACGATGACTCGGTGAACAGTTACAAATAAATGCACAGATTATGCAATAATATAATTTAACATTGGAAATAAAGTTCGTGTAATATTTGTAGAGTAAAATAAATTTTTTATTTGGATTCAATTTTTGTAGGCAGGTTTGCCAAGAATTCATAGTATTCACCGCATTACGTTTCTGATGAGAATAGTTAACACGTTGTTACGTAGTTTAATCGTTTTTGCCTGACTTGCCGTTCAAGCCATATGATTTGTCCTGCGACTCACAGACTATTTCATTACATCATCTGAGCTACAAGCAATTAGCTTGTTTTCTTTCTGTTCTATACTGCATTTTTAATAGTTAAAGGAGTATATATTAAGGAGTATAAGGAGTATATATTCCACAATTTAAAAATAACGATGATACCACTTATTCCAGAGCCTCGAAAAGTGGATGAACGAAAGCACCCATGGATTCGTCTACTTCACATTTGGCTCGATGGTGAAGATCGAATCCTTCCCGCAGAAGTATCTTGATATATTCTACAATTCTTTAGGGAAGATAGCACCCGTTCGAGTTCTGATGAAAATTCCGAATCCGAACGAACTGCCGCCCGGCTTGCCGAAAAACGTTCATACGTTGCCATGGATTCCGCAGGTCAAAGTTCTGAGTAAGTAGTAGTAAGTAAAATAGAATTAAATAAACGAAGTTCAATTGAAAATTCCTCGAAACCTACGAACGTGACGATTTGATATAAACTTAAATTTATTAAATTCATTTCTAAGGTGACGTTACATAGAGTTTGTTACTTCTACAATTATTATTGCAATAATAGTTCGTGTATTAAAGAAGACGACAGACGATAGAAATATAGAGATAGAGAGAGAGAGAGAGAGAGAGAGAGAGAGAGAGAGAGAGAGAACATTTTGAAATAATTTTACTCTTTCAGAACATCCAAACATAAAAGCATTCATCACTCATGGGGGTCTTATGGGGACCCAGGAAGCAATTCACTATGGCGTCCCACTGGTCGGTATACCACTGTTTGCCGATCAATTTATCAATATCAACAGCTACGTTCGGAACAAGATTGCAGTAGGATTAGACCTTAACACCCTAACCCAGGAGAAAATGGACCAGGCTCTGCATGCCATTCTACACGATCCCATATACCGGTAAATTGAGTCTCGTTTTATACTTTTTTTCCAAGTAGACTTCAGAATCGTGCCGTGAAAGTAAACGTCCCTGTTATTAGTTTTGCTGAAATTGAGCATCGTTAGGTAACGATCAAACGCGTGGCTGATTGGTTCCTGCAAATAGAATCCATGGAATTAAAAAAAACTTATAAACAGGGATTGAGAAATACAGACATGAAAATAGAATTTGCAATTATTAGAAGCTATAAATGTTAAACTAGATGATAAAAATTGAGAGTTGAAATTTCATAAACACAAATCGAAAGTGCAAATATTGAAAATAGAAATTGAAAATTAAAATCTATGAAGTAAACCTTCGTGTTGGGGCAACGAAGCGGAAAATAGAATTTTCTAAATTTTAAACTTTCCGTTTGTCGGAAAGAAGAGAACTGCCAGGCGAAGTATCAACTGTGTCGAAATACATTTACGCAACACGTTAATTTCGTTCCAGGGAAACGGTGAAGAAGGTATCTGCCAAGTTCTTAGACCGACCTTTGAGCGCCATGGACACCGCGATTTACTGGATCGAATACATCATCAAACACGGTCCAGATGCACTCAGATCGCCTGCTATGGATCTGACATGGTATCAGGTGGCGTCGCTGGACGTTGCCGCGTTCCTCCTACTTGTTGCGCTTCTAGCAGTGGTCTTCCTGATAACGGCGCTGCGGTTCATCTACAAATTAGTGAGCCCAACTGAACAAGTGTCGCGCGCGAAGAAAGTCTCATAAACACTTCCATTTTTCTATCTTGATGCACCGAGATATCGATCGAATTTCTTTGATGGTTTCCTTAGACTCGAGGTTTCGTTATTTAAATTTTACTTAAAACTTAGAAAGGAAGAACGGACGAGTAATTATTACCTTCCGGGGGTGGGTAAGCTATGTCGAGTTCGAACTTTGGAAATGTAATATTTTAACGATATAAAACGCAATATTATACGATCGAATTTGTTTACTCCAAACATTGAAAGGTTTGAATTCAACCTGATTTGCCTTTGAAGTATAGATTTGTATACTTTCAATATTCTTTTAATATCACAGCAGTGCTTCCCAACGAGTGTGACGTGACACGTTCACGCCAGGACGAAAGTGGGTGCGCGTGTGTACCGCGAAAAAATTTATAATGAATTTAACGAAACAACTTTACTTGCTAACGAGCGAGCACTGCTTTCAAATTGTAAAGATTCATTTATAATTTTAATGTAAAGCGGATCGCTGCAATTTTATTTATTATTCGTTTCGAAAAAGTGTGCTGTATATATGTTAGCCTCTATCTAAAATAGAATGGGAAGCAATAAATCAAAGAACGTACGAGGCACGTACCATTTTTGAAAACAAAAGGAAATGGAGTGGGTGCCTCTGCTAAGATAAGTTCCAATCGTTATATGCGATGCAAGAAAGGATCTGCAAAGAGCTAAGTTCCTCGGTGTTCATCTGCGTATTCGTCTAGTACAATTTTTTAACATAAATACGTTTTAAATATTTTAAATAAAATACTAAGCGTGTTCCTGACTATAGGCCTTGTAAATTTTAACTTTAATTTCGAGTATGTTATTAATTATTATCTGTCGTCACGTGCGACACGCGACGTTAAAATAAACAATTTTCTTAAAGATAAAATTGTGTTTCTGTTCCAAGATATCAATACAGAAATAGATAATTACAGCGAAGAAAATGTGTACATAACTAATGTTCAGGAGAGGATCGTTAATACCTTCGACGATGATAAGTCTAATAACCATCTGTCTTTTTTCGAGTGCGATGTAATTGGTGTTGGATATTGAAAGTAAATTTTTTGAGGGAGGTAAAAAGATACTTATACGACTTACCGTCACGTACCGAGTGATTGATAAGAACGTATTAGACCTGCAATCTTATTTCGTATCGTGTCGTATAATTGGTGCTTCACTTTACTTTATTACGTAAATAAATATATATGTGTACCTCGTATTGCCTTCACGTTCAGATAATAATATCAAATGTTCGTTTAAATTGTAATTATTAGACTGCGAATGTTTACGCGTGTATCCCGTACAATAATATAGAAAACATATATAAAATATATCTACGTAATGTATGTTGAATATATGTACATTACAATTAATATAATTATATTGTAATTTCATATCGCGTAAGTGCACACACCTTTCGATTACGTTTAACATGAGTTTATTACATTCGTTTAGATCATAAATGCATCAAATACGCAGTCTAGTAATCGTGCGTGGAAACTTAATAGAAAAAAAGATACCATGACCAAAACTAGACATTCGCGACATTTCACAAATGATTATTATTAGAACAAAAGTGAAGTATGAGTTAATGAAAGCCGGGTGTGTCCGCCATCTTTTATAATCTTATCAAATTTAGTCACTTCGCAGCTGTTGCCAATTTGGAAGCAGCCGATTTCAAAAATTCAACGTTCTGTTTAAAAAAATGTCGCGCACCCGACGAATTGCGCTCGGTTTTATATCAAGGAGCGTTTTTCTCTTCTTTTTTTTTTTTTATGACAATGCAAAATACGTACAGCCTGCTTCGGACAGACCGTGATAACTGTATCTGTTTCTCTGATCTGACACATGTCGCATCGAGCTCGTATCCGCTCGGTGCGTTTTCCACTCGTGAAAAGGACAGTCACGGGAAAAATCAACGTCAGCGCGCAACTTCGGAAAAATTCGCTTCAGCCGACGATGCGAAACGAGTTTCAACTTTTCAATTTTCCACGGCACAGCCGACAGCAATTTATGATTCGCCTGCCGTCGGCCAATGAAACGGAACGGATCCCCCGACAGCGAAGCGCTCGTGAAACGAAGATAAAAACGTACAAAAAATCATCGTCCCATCGGAAGTTTATCGCGCCCGATCTTCGCACCGTCACAATTCGCGTGAATGAACCAATCGAGTCGTCGAGCTTTTCGCGCCATTCGTGGCTCGATCGTTCAAATTAATATTTCGAACGCGTCTTTAAATAGTTTAATGGTAAGAGTCAGTTGAAATAGTGATAATTTTATTTACGTCATTTTGAAATGAAAACGACCCCTTTTTTTTTCATGAAAGTATAATAAAAATCACGAGGACCATTTTTTTGGCAGCAAGTCGTTAGTTTAATACAACGACAACAAAAAGAAAACTAGGTTACGTCTGATAAGTTTTTTTTTTTTTTACTGAAAGGAAGGAAATATCGAAACAAGATTTTCCCATAACATTAGGTAAGACTAGAACAACTTACTTGTATTCTTTTCATTGGCAATTGTTTTGCAATTAAGCATTTCTTTTGTTAAATATGTTTTTATCGTTCCTCGTGGAAGTACATGAAATGAAAGAAATAAAGCATCCGTTAAAACAATTTTTAAAAAAGCCTTTTCCATAACAGGTCTGAACGTTGATTTCAATTTTGAAGAGAACTAAAAAGAGGGAGTATTTCTAATAGAAGTAAAATCATCGTTTCTGAATCACGTATCGATATTAATCTGAAGTATACTTTTCTGCCGAGTCACTTCAAAATAGAATTATTCGGAATTGGTATCATTTACGATCGTTCAATTCGGTAAAGAAATCTGATAATATCTAAATATACATGAGGTCAGTGATAATGGCAACATCTCAAGGTTAAGTAGTTGTCACTACAGAAATTGCTGTTGTACTTACATAGTCTTATCGTCGACGTGACATATAAATTCACAGTAATCTATATAATCTATATAATTGCGACGACAATTTGAAGGATAAGTTTAATCGCGAAGAGAAGTAACTGAAAAAAATAAAAAAAATTTTATGACAGAAGTGACGTTTGAATTTTGATCGATCCTTATCACGATTTCTAATCCGCGGCGAAGTGTTTATTTTTATCGGCAATTTCATTAACCGTCTAGGAATAAGTACTGCGGCACGTGATGGGCTGTGTCTCGAGAGGATACGTAAGTCTCTCGTCTGTTCGGGATGCAAAGGATGCTCCACTTTCGTCTAAGTACTTCTGTTCCGAAGAAATTTCTGCCTTTGAGGGAACCAAAGGAAGAAAAATGTAAGAGGCGTCTCGAAACCAATAGGTTCCCCTATCGATCGGAAAGACGTTGAAGCAGTTTTCACGTATCTATTCGCCGAGAAATGCTCAGCTTGTTTTTGGTAGTTTTCGAGAGAAAAAGGAAAGAATAAATGAGATCGATTTATTATATCGGAATAAACAGGAAAAGAATAATTTGGTGACTTATTCTTATCAGGTAAAATTTTAATAAATGACACAAGATAAAAGATAATGTAAGATTAAAGCAAAAGAGTTTTCGAGTGGCGAAGAAATTAGGCTATCTACATTTTTACAATCACAATTTCTCGATGAGTGATGCAACGAAACAACTTACAAGAAATAAGTATTTAAAATCATTTTTAATGTAATATTTTTACGAGGGGGTCCATCAAATATTAATCTAGCTCTGGATATATAATACCTATCTATCGATTGTCCAAATACGGAAGCCACTAAAAGGGCATCTGTCGTGATGAAATATTATGACACATTGCGGCAATTGCCTCGAGTCAAGTATTCAGATTGGTATTTGTTCCGGTAATGGTGTCGGCCTCGAATCGCAAATCATGTTGCGTTGAGACGTACGCACATCAATGTTGATCCATCGATCAACGTGCACCACGTGCTACTTAAACTATCGAACAAACATATCCGCTTGACAAGCATTTTTCCATGAAGTGAAAATGTCGATACACGGATTTAATTTCATTGAAAACTCTATCAATCCTGAATATCACCAAGTGCATAACTACGCACACGAGGTGGATATCTTTTCTTTCCAGATCATTATTTAACGTCATCCGTAGTGATCGCAGTGGACATTGAAAACACTAATGAATAGAACTGTCTTCTGGTAAAAATATCAATGACATCATCCATCCTGAGATGACGTTCATAAATTCAATACTCCTTGAACGTACTCGATTCCAAATTCAACGGATGTAACGTTTGGAACAACAAATGGATCACGAAACACGCAAAGAGATATCTAAAAATATGTCGTTCTGTGTCGTTCTCCAAATACAGAGGAATTATTCCCCAGGTGGTCCACTTTAATCCCTTCGCTCCGTGGACGTGAGAAACGAGAATAGTTACGACGAATGACTCGGTTTAAATATTTAGAGAAGGCACAAGGTGGCTCGCTAGATACAGACACGGCTCTGTTACCCAGATAATAACTGGTACACGAATAATTGTACCAGTGTATCTATAAATGGATCCTTTCGTTGGAAACTCGAAATGTGACTGTCGAACCGTTACACGTTCGATTCGATTCGGCTTGCGGTCCATCATTCTGAGAGAGGATGATGCAATTTAAGAGAGGTAGGTTGTTATTCGCGTGAGTATTCACCTGTTCGCGGTTAAGAAACCTGTTCCAGGTAGTCGGGAACCTCTCGACGAATTCTTCTTCCGAAGTTTAAGGTTATCTTTTCGCTATTCCGTGCTATAACTTCAAAATTGGAGAATATAAAAAGTAACAGTCACAGGTGCGCGTGTAACTGGGCGATTTAAATGATCTTTAAGCGACGAGTGACACATTTCAATTATTATACTTAGCTATTATTTCAATTTCTATTTAAATATTTTCCGTTGCAAAAATAACTGACTGGTCCATAATAACTCGGAGTACGATTCCTAATTCCATATTCCGAAATTTCATTTCACGTAATTTCCAGTCTACCCATAATTTTCTAAGCTCGATTAGTTTCCTCGTTCGTTATTTATTACGAATCGCCGTGGATCTAAAACTTGCCACCTGGAATAAATGGTCAACGGCAACGGGCAGGAATATAAGCATAAGTTTTCTTCCTCGCGGGGAAGACAGTATAACAGGAGTTGCGATAGAGAAATTGGATACGTTCCGAACTGAGATTAAACTGAATTCCACGGATTATGCGAAAAGTTATTCTCGAAGTTTAGATCTCTTTCTGCGGTAGTTACGCGAGTAGTTAGGAACATCGAACAGTTTTCGAATGAAATTTTAAGAGCTCGAAAACGTCGGTGAATTTCATTCCTTTTCGGCGATTATTCTCGAAAACTAGTGCAACGACTAGACTGCGGATGTTTATGCAAATTCATATGTTCACAGACACGTAAGAACGATTGAAACTTAAACGAAAGTATGTCCTAGGTTCCAAACAGTCTAACACGTGTATTATTTTTAATATTTTATATATATTCGCGTTTGGGCAAATCCTCAAACATCTTCCAACATTTTTACTCGCTATAAATGCATAAACTTTCGCAGTTTAGTAACAACCATTAACATTAAAACTACCAAGCTCAGTTCGGATCACTTTGAAGATTTTTCGTCGTAGAACCATAAATACCGTAGAATTGACGGACGTAAATATTCAGACGTTCTCTATTCGAATATCCCGATTCGAAGACGAAGAATAATTTAATTTCTCAACGAGGAATTTAAATCGTGACTCATTAAAGTTTCGAACGACTCTTTCTGATCCGTCTTGTTCGACTGTTTCCACAGCTACGCAAATAGATACCGCCGTTCCAAATAGCCTGCGAGGCGAATTCGAAGATCAGTCCCCTCGTGTCTCTCGCAGTCGCTGCGTTTACAGCACTCGAGTCGGATCTTCGACTCGGTCGCTGTTTATTCGAATAACAGTGTTATCAAACAGTAGGCAGATCGTGTGTACCGCGTGATCGATGTTTCGTTCGACGCTGTCTCCAGGATCGAGTAATTATCGTGTGTCCGCCAGATACTTTTTTTCAGGTGCTTCTAACGCGGTGTGTTTTTCCGAACAGAAAATGCCGATAACGTAGCATAAGCGATATTGACAACTGCTAGCTTCTCCAGCAAGTACACATTACGCCTGGCGAGTCTAAAAAATCGTTTTTAACGCATTTCTTGCGTCGTTTTGAAAGAAAAAATTTGAAAATTTCACGTCGCAGTGGTCTGCCCTTTAACCCTTTCAACTCTAGCGAATATATCTTGTCGTTGGTCAAATTACAATGGCGACATCTTAATAATCTCTACAAATTGCCCTTATCCGACTATAGCCCTCGATTTACGAGCCGAGCTTAGTTTACTTCAATTAATTTCTAAAAGAGAAACGAGTGTCGAATAGAAAACGAAAGGGTTAAAGTAACCTCCAGCCACTAGCTCCGCTCCGAAACAGTACGTAGCCGCTGCTAACAGCCACCGACACGTGACGCAATCTTGTGCTGATACGCGCAATACCAAAAAGCTAACCGTGACTACGACCGATGGTCAGTAGCTGCCTACGGTCGGCAGCACGCGAATCGTCCGAGAGTAAAGTGTGGTCGAGCAGGTGTCTCGTGGACCCGCGAATCGTTCCACGAGAATACCTAAACGCTATCGAACGTGAACTCTCGAAACAACAACCTTCGAGTTTTAGAAGAGATCCTGGATCCAAACACTTCGTCGACTGAACTCTGAGCGTTAGTTGCGAGTGAAGTTCGAGATTTCGAATCATTCAGCGAGATGAGACTTCACCTGTCGATACTTTTAACGATCCTGGGCTGCTGTCACGTGGCAAATGGCTTGCGAATACTGGCCATATTCCCGTTGAATGGAAGGAGCCATTGGATCACTGGCCAAGCCCTGACTATGGGTCTGGCGAGACGTGGCCATCAAGTGGACGTCGTCAGTCACTTCCCACAGAAGAAACCGGTGCCGAATTACAGGGACATCTCTCTGGAGGGCACGCTGGAGCCAGTGATAAACAGTATGAACGCGTCCATGGTGAAGGACATAGGCGCGCAAGATTTCGAATTACTTGTACAGAAGGTCGGAACGAAGATATGCGACTTGTTGGAACACGAAAAGATTCAGCAGCTGATACACAATCCGCCCAAGGATCCCCCGTACGATCTTGTCATCGTGGAGGTAAGGAAGACGTGTTCAATTAGCGAGACCTTAAAGTTTTAATTAGAAGTTGAAAGAGATACGAGAGAAAAGAAAAGTAAGGAAAGAAAGTGAAGAAAGGTTTTAATCGTTATGCTGATCGAGAAGTTTCAGTTATAAAACAATTGTTCTATTTTAACGTGTAGAAGTTGAACGACAGAAACGATGTTCACCGTGCACTTTCGTTACTTTTCTTTTCCCCTGTATGTCTTCTAACTTTTAATTAAAAGTTTCGACTGCATTTGCATTCGATTACTAAAAAGGAGGAATTGATATTCGCCCGTAGGGTGAAGAATGAGGTTTTATACGTAGGCATTAGGAGGCCATGACATGATTTTTCCACGTTACAAGGCATTTCCACGTTAGCGAGGTTGTCACCGTGTAATTTCCTTTCTGAACAACGTGATGCAACTAATACTTCCATCTATTTGCGCTGCTTCGCGGAAGCTAATAGAAGACAATGTTTACAATGTTGAATTTCTGATTCGACTATATATTCTTACTGCGGAGAATATTTGAATTCGTACACGTGGAATAAATCGAAACCGTGGATTTATGTATAAGGTCTTTTGCAAATACAATATACCTGTGACATCCAATCTCCTCTTACACGGAGATTGAAAATTAAAACGCAGCCTGTACAATGTTTAATTAGTCCAAGTAAAAGGTTAGCTGAAGGGTGCATTAAGATTTTCATTTTTAACACAACGTTTACGGAGAATTCTTATCGGTAGACTGCGGCTATTTATGCGTTCATGGCGAGTGTAAATACAGAAAAATATACAAGGATGCGTACGAATGCTTGAATATATAAAATATAAAAAAATAGATTAACTTTCATGTCTAACTGTCATCGTATAAATTAAATTATAGTAAGAAAATCGTATGTATTCCAAACTGTTTCATTAAAAACAAAATCCTAAAGCTTCTTTGGCTCAACGATTTATCAGGATCACATTATAAATTCGTCAAATATTTCGAATGAACGATAAGTGAATGTATAATCAGTTATATAACCTGGCGAAGTAAAATATAAGAGGAATATGTTACAATTCGCAGTTATGAATCATTTAATCTACATGACTTGCGCGACGAACGATGCTTGGTGAGCATACATAATCGCACACAATGGCAATTGATGTCGACAGCAATCAGAGTGCATACACTATCGCTATCGACACCGTTGTCGTCTCCGCTCGTTATTATACGTTTGAAAAACATTAAAGAAACACAGAGTCCGTGATATACAAAAAAATTCAATTTGTATCGTAAAATAGATGCGACATTCGAAAAGCGGAAACTGTTTACTGTTATTTATCGAACAAATGAGGTTTTCCTATCAATTTTGAAGACCGACTAGTATCTTTCCTTTCAATTCTTAGACGGATGATTCGTGTACAGCAAGAAATGATTTCTATGCAAAAGTGGTACTGAAACGAATTTGGAATTTTAATGTTCCTAGCGACCATAATGGTCTCGGTCACCATATTGGTCACAGTCAGAAAAACCGGTTCTAGAAGTTAGATGAAGTTTAATCTTAACGATTCCACTGGATCAGTGCCTCTCAACCCCCTTTTTTTTTTTTTGCTAGCGATCGAACTAAAATTGAATAAAGACTAGAAAGCAGCGAGTAAAAGCAACAAAAGTAGCGACAGAAAACAAAGTCCAATTGATTCCCGATATTTTTCCAGTTGTTCATGTTCCCATGCTTCCTGGGATTCGGTCGTCACCTGAACGTTCCCATGGTGGGCGTTATGGCATCGACTTTTCACGAGTGGGTCTCGGACGTCACAGGGAACATGTTTAATCCTTCCTTCATGCCGTGCTTGTTCAGCCCGTATCGCCCAGAAATGACCTTCTACGAGAGGTTGATGAATACTCTGCTAACGAACCTTGTCGGCATGCAATTGAAATACCACATAAGAATAGAAGATGAATACGTGAAAAAACACTTCAACATAGACGAGTCGGTCATGGAGCTTCACAAGGATCTGGCGGTGATTCTGGTCAACTCGCATCACAGCCTGAACGGGGTTAAACCGATGACGAACGGAGTCATCGAAATCGGTGGGTTGCACATCACCGAACAGGGTGATCCTCTTTCCCCGGTAAGTGAACGTTTCAATTTTTGTTAGATACGATAGTTACGCACTTATGACGAGTGTAAATGTACAAGCGTGAATATATAAAAGTGACGAAGTACGCGTTAAGATGTTTAGAAGACAAAATGAACTTTAACACGAAGTAATGCTTTCACGAATGGATATCGATTTACTGGAATTAGTTAGATGACTTAAATAAAAATTAATTTGGGTAAAAATATTTGATAAAATATACTATAAATAACTGAACGATATTTCTTGGTGACACGACTCACAGACAACTCGATAATCGATTTCCAATTAAGTCCACGAATCCAAGTGTACATTTTAACCGATCTTATATAGATATACTTATCTAGCTATACTAATCAGAAACACTCCAAACGACGTCTCGATCGCGTTTCATTCGTTATCGCTTTTCTCGAGCGTGAGATAAGTTGGCATCACCTGCACAATCGGAACTTCCACCGTAGAAGCTAATCCACAACAAGGGAAAAAATCATTTTTAAACTTTGAACTTCGAGTACCTCTTGATGTTTAAAGTACACGCAAACGTTGTCTGTGTCTTGAAGTCTGGACTTGAATTCATGTTTTCGAAACTAAAAACTGAATGTGCTTATCGATTAATAAAAATAATCAATAATCCTAGAAGAGGTCAGAATACGCTGCTATAAATTTATTCAGTAATTAACTATACTGTTCCATTTAGTCTGACGAGCAATATTTACTGTTTGCATATTTGATGGACCTCGAATTTCTTTAATCGTACCTTCCAGTGTCCGATACATAGATAGAAAAACATAATAAACATTTCTAATCGCCTCCAATCATGCACGGCACGCAAAAGAAGAAAATTTGAAACGATAGGTACAGAATCATGTTCTCACTGCGTTGGTTTTGATGCAGTATCGAGGATAATTGGTCATAATTGTGTCATAAAGTGCCATTTACGCGACGCATTCCGAATCGTATAAAAACGTCAGGTTTTAATGGCTCCCGAGAATTAGCTCAACGAGCGAATAAGTGAAACCGCGAAAACTAAAATAAAACCTTTGACCACGCTATTGCGACTCGATAGGAAATTCAAAAATGGCTGGACGAGAGCACGCACGGTTGCGTGTACTTCACGTTGGGATCGATGGTGAGAATCGAGACGTACCCCGAATCTGTTCAAAGAGCTTTCCTCAACGCTTTCGAGAGCATCGCGCCTGTTCGAGTGTTGATGAAGGTCGCGCATAAAGAGGATCTAATTCCGAAAGTCCCGAAGAACGTCATGATACAATCCTGGTTCCCGCAAGTCTCTGTCTTCAGTGAGTAATTGAATAATTTTTTTTTAAATTTCTTTCCATAAATACTATAAAATATTTAAAGCATCTAGAAATAATAAGAAATAGCCGTACGTTGCGTATAGGAGATCATACGTACTGTATAATTCGCGTTAACGTTGTCCGTAGTCGCTTCCTCTGTATCAAGGGAAATATCCTAAAAATTTTAGAACACAAGAACATAAAGGCGTTCATCACCCACGGCGGTACCATGAGTATCCAAGAAGCTGTCTACTTTGGAATTCCCATGGTTGGAATCCCTCTGTTCGGTGACCAACCCACGAACATGAACAACGTCGCCCATCTAAATATCGCGGTGTCCCTCGGATCCCTGAAAAATGTCACGGAAGAAACGCTGTCCTACAGTCTCAATAAGGTCTTGAAGGACAAAACCTATCAGTAAGTACCTACGTGCGAAAAAACGCGTACCACGATCTTAAAACATAACATTTTTTATTGCGAAAGGGATCGTTACGTTTCCAATAACGTGTACATTCTGCCAATATCGATTCTCTGCGCTAAAATAAATCGAAAAGTCCTTTTTCACTTTGCAATACGAGGCTTCGTTGTCGAGATATAAGCAGCCAAAGTTTGCGTACGAAAGCGCGTTGTCTGCGAGTGAATGCGCATGCGCCAACGCGATCAGCTGACTGGGATAAAAATGGCGCACGCCAGGAGTCACACACGTGAATCTTAATTGCTTGTATCTACGTAACGAAGCCTCAGATTGCAAAATGGTAAAGGACTTTTCGATTCTCTACCATACGAAGAATCGATCCTAGAAGAAAGATCCAGATTTTCGTTAACGTCCTAGTATCGAGAGATTATATTTTATTATTATCGTATAGTAATTTCTTCATCCACTATCTACAATTGGTCGGTCCCTACATCATCTTCGAATGACAAAACGTGAACTTTCAGAGAAAACATGAAGAGAATCTCGAAGCTATTCAAGGACAGACCGATGTCCGCTATGGACACTGCTATATACTGGGTGGAATACGCGGCGAGGAACGGAAACGCCCTGCGATCGCCTGCGATACGTCTTCGATGGTGGCAACAACAACTCTTTGACGTTTATGGCTTTATACTTGCCTGCCTCGCGTTGGCTCTCTACGTCGTGATTTTTGTTCTTCGAAAGCTGACGTGCCTTCTGTTTGGCTCTAAAGCCTGCTCCAAGAAACCTAGCCATTCGTCGGAGTCCAAAAAGAGAAAATAAGTGCTTGTGTACGTATGTATGTATGTATGTATACGTGTGTGTCTATTTTTTGTAAGCTCGGGTGTAGATTGTTTTATACGAAAATTCAGTGAACCCAACGATACATGAAACAGAAGATGACGATAACGTTCTTTGCGTCACTGGTTACAGTAAATAGAGGCTACGAATCGTAAAAGTAGAAGTAAATAAGAAATAAATAAAAAAGTGAGCTACGCTGGTATTCCAAACTCAATTTTTCATTCGTTCAATTAAAACCACTATGGTCTGAAAACTTTTAGTGGCCGATATCATCTCCTTGAAGATAGTATTATACAAATAACGATGTAACGTTATCGTGGAACTGTGTTTTATAGAACTTAGACGATTCATCGCCAGCATTTGAAATGATCGATAAAATAATGATACGTTGGATAATTTATAGTGCTACTTCATATCACTCAGACGTTCAAGAAAGACTGTCTCTAATTTTAGATACACTTTGTCCTTCGTTACCGATGTACTAGGAAAGTTTTTTTGATACACGTTTCAACGAGTTCAAAGTCATCGGTGTATTTGTTGCGAATCCCTGTTAATAAAAAATAACTGAAGGAATAAATCTATTAAAAAATTCTAATTCTATTAAGAATTGTATCAATTTTCGATCAAATAAATGAGATTAATTTAATGGAAACTTTATCTATTGGATTATTGATAGTTGCAATCGATTATATTTTAACCCGATAAATTTTATATAATGTTTGTTTTCGTTTCAACAAATTATACAACAAAGTTAATCGTGGCGAACTAGTTTAAAACAAAATTATTGTTAATTCTTGTTTCTACCTGTTCTTAATACGATTGAATATAATTAAAAATCGAAGCGGCTTTCCAAAAATTTTGTTTATTAGATTTGCATGCATTGGAAACACTCTAGTCTTACCTGGTGGAGGTGTCGAGTTCATCAGCTGTAACTGGTAGCATTCTTGCTCCCTTTCCAAAATGATACGACGGAACGCCTCGTTGTCGAGGGTGCTCCCCACCGTCGCATTTCCAGGCATCTGTTGCGTGAAAACATTCAGAGTTACTATCGGTGTAATCCATGAGCAAACTTGAGAAGCGACCGTGAGAACTTCCTTCAAATGCACAAAATAAAACTTTCAGTCTAGGGTCTGTACTTCCACTCTGTACTTCTTAATAAATCTTCCCTGTCTCCCATTTATTTTATTTTCTTAGTTCGATAGAGCAAGGCCTCGTTAAAAGTTCGGATTCTCGTGACTTTTATCGAGGTGATGCTATATTCGCAATTCGCACATTTCAGAAGGTAGCGTAAGTACAGGGGATATTGGGCACAGTGCGATGGAAGACGAAAATGATTAATAAATAGTTACCAAAGCATCCGTTAAGTTAGTTCTTAGAGGAAAAGACGAGCATTAATTTTTGTTCGTTAGAAAGCGCGATGGTAAAATATTTTTGTTACATTGAGAGGTAAAAGGAAAGCGTAATTGTTATCTGAATTTGTTTATTTGTATGTGCGAACGAAGTTTATTTTTGTGTTTATTCGGAATGCATTGTTGGCAATTCTACGCGATCGTCGATGATTTTATTGGATGTCAAAATTGATTTACGTTCGATAGTTAACGAAAGCTAACATATTTCCATCGCTGTAGCAAGAGCAAACACATTTTCAATAATTAACACGTTTTTAAGCCGCTTTCATCGGTAAATGTAAATATTAAAGGTTGCAGTGGAGCATAAAAAAAAAAAAAAAAACAACCAAAGACCGTGTATAATGTTTACACAAGTGGTTCGACCGTATTTAACGTGGTTAAACACGACATTAAATATCTTCTGAAGTTTCCTGTACGTTACGTCGATTTATTTAACCGTTCGTTCGTTATGTGACCTTAACGAGACTTGCAGTGAGAAATACAAATATTAATAATCTCGAACGATGTTTCCAATAAACGAGAAATATACATTTAATGATATTCTTTTCGATAGAAGATATATTAGAGATCCGAATCATTGTGTTTGTGCAGAAATAAACGGTTCGCATTTTACATAATTTTATTGCATGAAAAGCCAGTGGGGGTTAAGTTTAAAAAAAGAAAAAGATAAAAGGATGATAAATAATATTGCATAAATTACCCTCGAATGAATTATCCTTTGGTCTACAGCCGAGTCACTTAAATATTCCGTGGGAGTGGGACGTTTACAAGGAACTGAAAGTAAAAACGAAAACAAAACGAAAATGTTGAAAAAATGGTTGATCCTGTGGATCGACGCAATCGCGAAACGTTCCGCGACAAAAGTTCACCCGAAGGTGCACGGGAACTCGCCGAATCGATTTTTGCTTAATCCTATCAGAAGGAAGCGTTCCGTTCGGGTGGAAACATTTCGCTCCCGAGGCTTCAGCCAACCCTTTCGCGATACTTCGATCCAATTCCCGAAAGATTAACAACCTGGATCTATAAAAAAAATTCCCGAAGGCGACGTTGGCATGCTGGCTCCTGCTTACGAAGTGTATCGTTTCGAAACGCAGAGTGTAGTGAATTTATTCAAAACAAGAGGTCCATCGCAGAGTTCGCAAGACTTCGCAAATACATGGTCGCACCTGTGCAAATAAAACCTGCCTACGTGAAACTCGGGATTCGATATTTCCCCCTGATATTGTATTTTTTACTTCCGGTCAAAGGAAAATACAAACTCGCAGAATCGAAAATAATATCGAGAAAAACAACTTATGTATCTATAGGGCATAGGCAATCGATTTGTGTTGCGATAACCATCGTTTTGTAGAAAATATTGTCTTGCAAAATTAAATATTTTGCGGTATTGAATACAGTAAGAAATCGTGGAAATCTGAAATGAAGCATTTGTAACATAGTCGCTGTGAACTCTTCACATCAAGTTCGAACCCCTACTCATTTTCTTACTTTACAAGATCATGCTTAATAATCTTAGACTAAAGTTTCGCAGTGAATCGTGACCTGGGCCAAACAAATTAAAACGCACACCTCTACAAAGCTGAAATTCTCACCCTGAAATAAATTTCGAACGCCAAATCAAAGATAAAAGGAACGTTTCATTGATTACTCCTGAAATAAAAATCAGAATCTCGGCTACATGTCGCAACAAACAAACAAAAATGAAACTAAACGAATCGATCGACGATATTACATGTCAATGAACTTGGTTCCCCACCGATCGCAAGTGTCTCCGCTTTTCGCTAAACTACACCGTATTTAAATCACAAATTTGTCCATCTGACTTGCAAATATCAATCGCAGAGCAATTCGCCCGCAAAGCATATTCATTCGTCGACGAATCGAAACAAGTTCGAGTCTCGAACGTTGTTCGCAGCAGATCATAGCAAACGGAAGGGAACCTCGTCGAGGCAAAGAATTTTCTCAGATTCAATAGACATTCCTCATTTCTTAAACATACTCCGTTCCCGGGTACGTTATCCCTTCGCCATCTCGATACAAATGGAATCGTTGCATTCCGTGACGAGATGACTGGTCTTGCAACGGCGGGGAGGGATTCGAGTCGAAGGGAAACTAAATTACTCTGCGCGCTGGCTAACATATTAGGTGGTTACATTGAAATTAGTTGTAATTGAAGGCACTAACCACCGTGTCGACGGTGATTGCAGAATATTTGCAGGCAAACACACCGGTGCGTTTAATTGGCGGATTATCAAAGCGTCGATAAATTCGACGAACGTTTCGCTAGCCTTGCGCGACTGGAAAATGATTTAGAGCAGTGTTTCTCGACGTTGGACGATGTATCGTCCCCTGTTGGGTCGATTCCTCGACGTGGGCGGTTATCTGACCATTTGATTGTGGAGAACGATGATTATTTCGACGTGAGCGAATCGCGGTTACGTTAAATTTATTTTAATTTTGGCGTTTCCATCCACATGATTAATTGAAAGGGGTTTTGATGATGTTTCTTAAATACTGACTAAATTAAGGGAGGGACTTAAGGGAGGAAATAACGTTAAGAGGTCGAATACTAAGTATTTTTCATTATTTTTTTTCACAAAGAAAAATTTATTTAATTTTTGTTTCAACTCGAGAATATTTTAGGTATATTTTAAAGCATATTTAGTCATTTTTTCAATTCATTTCACAGAGAAATGGTTGATAATAACGGGCTGCGAAACAGTGATAAAATTTTTAGATGTAAGAATAAATGTTGCATTACAAGATCGTAGAAGAGATTATAAGAAAAAATTAATTTGTTCCCCGGTATACTTCCATACGTCCTACTTACAGATAGATTGCTATACTGTGTTTTCATTCGTTGTCGTGACACCTAGTACGACGCTCGAGCTCTTCCCCTTTTTCAACGGATGAACCGCGAAGAAAGTTCTAAGAAAAGCTATTAGAGTCCGTGAATTGCATAAAACACAAAGGCTTCTCGGTTTACCTTGAAAACAGACGGTTGTATTTTCGCACGTGCGCGCCACATGTGCTCCAATTTTGCTGTTGTGCTAAGCTATAGACACTAGGTCATTATGCTTAGAGACACGCACACGGAAGAATAACAAATACAGGGTTTGTTTAATATAAATTCTACGTACAATTATATATCTATATATGTAAGAATGAACGCTTTATCAATACCTTCATTAATAATCAAAATTGTGTTAACAAATACCCCAACCCTAGTAAAAATTAAACATTGTTTGAACTTTCTATTCTCGCAAGGTAATCCAATTAAATCCTTATTTTAATCAGACACAACGCCCACAGTTTTCCTGCACTACGAGCAAAAGTTTAGTATAGTTTGAATAGCCAACCAGATTTCGTAAAGAAATATAAAACTGACTACGAAAGTTCAACCTTTCCTTCCCACGCGTTTCTTCCTTGATTTTCTAGTAAACTAGGTGGGTAAGGTTGAACCATGCCTCGCAATTAGAAGACTCTAAGAAATTCCGAACTTCAACCAAGTCGCATGATGCATGGGAAATGTTGCTGAACTCGGCCAGGAGTCGCGGAAGACGCATTACATGCTTCGGGGACAATCCTCGATAGATTCAACTCGACGACACGTATAAATTGGCCGCTCGATTGGATGCTGGCAAATCGCTGAACCCGTGACGAATAATCGGGAAATTTCTAACTCCTGCGTCCATGATTGCGCGATAAAAGGCGGAAGTGCGAATCGCCGATTCCGGAGTTAAATTCTGTAATTCTATCATCCATTGCGTAATTCTATTCATCCATTTACACTCTTAAGGTCAGCTGTCTGACCCTTGACCGGGGTGTTCTTCAACGTTGGAAATAAATTAAGGACTGATATTTTAACGAAATATTAAGTTGTCCCAAAAGTTTCTTCCGTGACTTGCACTCAATTATTTTCTGTGCCAGTGTTTATACAAATAGACAACCTAATTTATCAGATGTTAATATTGCACAACAGTAACGGAGCAAAATGAATCGTACGCAATTTAATATTATGTAACATTAGACATAAAATATTGTGTACGTATTACTTATTAATGAAATGGAAGAAACTTTTGAGACAACCTAATATAACGATTAAATATTTCTACTTAAACCAGAGTCATAAATGATTGTATATACAAAACACGGAATTAATTTCTACACCTAATATATAAAAAAAAAAAAAAATCAATTACAACGTTCTTAACTACAACTTCTCGATCCAAATTCCACACAAAGTCCAAACAAAGTAATAAATAGCAAAGCACTCAGTAAAAATAGGTGCACGTACCATTTTCGAATAATTATCGCCATCTATTTCCTTAGAAAAAAACATCGCGAAGATATGCTTGACGCCAACGTGGCACAATCATTTCGAAGCGTCATTAATGCAGGAGTCTAAACGAAAAATAAGGCACGGAGGATTCGAGAACCCACGATCCTCGGAATCACAGTCGACCGCTTTACCTACAAGACCAATCCCGTACTCTACGTTTCGTGTTCTTATTTGACTCCTTGTTGTTGGGTATGGGAAGCGAGGATACTACATTAATAACATTGTGCCTCAATTGTTACGCGGAACTGACATGATCGATACAGTCTCCGTGCAACAGAGTCGCTTTGACTGCGATATCGATGTCGCCATTGATGTGTCGCATGAACGTCATTAACATGCATAGGAACGCATATCCACACCCAAAGTTCGACGTAGCCGTACCAGAAGCCTCGTTTCATCTGATTCTCTCTACCAAGGCTGCGACTGCACGAGGAACAATCGATTCAACGTCGACTGCATTGCTCTCTGCACGATATGCTAATTATTTGCGTTTACAAGAAAGTTCCGTCGCTTTTTCGCAAGGTTTTTCTACCTAGAAATTCATAACCAGCGCGACATATCGTTGCGCGTGATGCGAACAATGCACAGGTCTCGCTATGAAGCGAGACCTTGTACCCGCGATTTACATTGTTTTGTTCAACGGTATGCTAATTATCTGGGTTTACAGGAAAGTAAACTTTCTTCGCAAGGTTTCTTCGCGTTGGTCGGAGGAATATATAAGCGGCATGATACATCGTTGGTATGGACAATGCCACTGGTCTCCCTACGAAGGGCTATGATTTCCGGAGCAATGAAGCATCGGGCATTTTCTAATCTTGTCGTTTCTTTAGCGTGAAATTCCGAGATTGTAGCGATTCTTTGTTACGCAATTTTTCATATTTTGGAACAACATTTTCACTGCGGAGGACTCGGGCTAAAGTTGAAATGTCTAAAAATAATATTGTAGTATGTTTGCCTGTCAAGTGAAATGGTATTTCATTTTGTTTTTTAGCTGGACAAACGTACCCTGAAACCAGTTTCGGTTTACCTACTTTCGAAATTCCAAATTACGCGAAATACAGTACTTGGGAGTCTGAATTGCTTGTCATTTTATTAGAAAATCATTTCTTCGATCTCTACACGAGGCGAATCGTCGGTTCGAATCCCCGTGCCGTTATTTTTCGTTTAGACTCCTACAATATTATCATTTAAACGGTATTAATTGAGTTTCTTACGATAACATTTAAAATATGCGAGATTCGTTACTGAATCGTCCAGATTAATTGTAACGTCTTTAGGATACATTTATTGGAGAAGGACAAAACTTTCTTGTAAACCTAATCTTGGTACAAATTGCAAGCTCTGTCTATACGTTCGAATAAGGTACGGAAACGGACGCGACAACCGCAAAGCTGACTGATCTGAGAGGGAAATTCTAATCCAGACCTAACAT